GGACTATCATCACTACCGCACGGGAGCCTACGCTACTGAGAAGCTGGATTGCCCCACCACAAGGCGACAGTGCCGTGCGACGCGCACTGGCCGCATTGCAGACCGTCGGCACGATTTTTAAAGTCGACAATAGGAAAAGCGCAATTTTTGATTTTTCTGCAAAACATCCGCCATAATCGAAAAGATAAGCTCTGCTTGTCTACATTATAGACAGAAGCAAGATCAATCGATTACACGAAAAAAACGCTTGAAAGAGTTAGACTAGACATAAAATAAAAGTATTTCAAAAACACCGTTTTTGCTAGGTCTCGTTAAGGTCAAAAATGAAGTTTTGACATTGTCAGCGTGGAAGTAGAGATCAAGAGCTTCATTATGACAAGATGTACTAGAACTGTGTTCGAAACAACAAAGAAAAGGGTACGGGAGCCAAATGCCCATTGCCCCGCGTTTGGGGTTGCGAGGTAGCGTGCAACGCGAGAAGACGCAGGAGAGCAGCGGAGGAAGATCAGAGCCGACAGGGCATTTGGCCCTTGTCGTAGATTTTCACGGGATCTCAACGAAACCTCGCAACATTATATATCATTGTATTTCTCGTGACACGACTAGGAGCACTGACAGCGTTCCTAACTTCAAAAATTGCTGATTAACGAGATACTCCAGCATTTTTGTGCGCAACTCTATGCGTAAGATTTGAGTATTTCGTTTTTATTGAACTCCGACAGCTTTCGTGAACTTGAGGAGCTCAGTCGTAGGAAGAGGTTAATTAGGTAATGTAATCCTCAAATGTGGGGAAAATTCCACGGAAACCCTCTTTGTAGCGTAATAAGGCTATAAGAGCGCGCTATCTCGCTTTCGCTGTGATATTTTGAGATAGTACCCTCTATACCTGCTTCAAGCTAAACATCCAAGGTTTGCCTCGCACCACTTTATCACATCAATGTTTTTATTCACATGAAGGTTGTGTTTTTTGTGCCGCCAAAAGTGAAGGTTACCTGAGTAGGTTGCTTTATGTATCGAGGGTATGTCTCATGGTCTGGGTTTATTCAAATGTTTGTTGCCGAGCCACTGCCTCTAAGCATTTGCAATTTCATTTTGTAAGTAAAAAAAAAGAGTTTTTCTCTTTTTGGTAGACAATTTCTCTTCTTATTAGCTTATATGAAGTCCTCAAGCTGGTTCATTCATCTGCTGATTTTTTTGTCTTTTGAAGCTGAAAGGAAACATTTCAAATGCAACTGAATCTTGAATTTGATAAGTCACATGCTTCTTATTGTTAGTTTCTGAACTTTATTAAGGTCGAAGGTTGGGTACTTCCGGAAATGCCTTCTATGATTACTGACATGCTAATTTCTATGGATGACCATTACCTGTATGCCTCCAACTGGTTTCATGGCGATATACGACAGTATGACATCAGAGATGTGGACAATATTCGACTTACTGGAAATGTTGGTGTTTTACAATTTATTGCAAAGAATTACTAAAAATGTTGAAAATTCACTTACAAAATTTTAATCTGATTTGATGAGTTTAAGCCGGTAATTGTGTAAGTTCAGATATTCATAGGAGGCAGCATTCACGAAGAAAGTGGCGTAAAGCTTGTTAAGGACGAAGAACTTGAGGTAAACTCTTAGATTGAAATTTTGTGTCAAGACAAGTACGTAATCACACATATTAGGCTACGATACAGTGATTTACCGTATCTAAGAATGGTTTGCTTCAATAAAACATAAATTTTGGCTGTTCGATGCCAATCGTCAAAATTATAGAACTCCAAGGGAGTCTGGTATTGATAAGGCGAGGTGTCTCCTGATTTTGAAGAACCATAGAATATTTTGAGTTACACATCATTTTGCCTTTAAATTTGAGTGTTTTGAGAAGATTTATTTATTTATCTGTTTTGTTGGACCAACATTTTTTAACCATCTGACCATTTCTCATATTAATAATCTGATGAATTACCTCCATGCTCTCTCTTCTGCTGCTTTCACCTAAATCAAATAGAACTTTTTTCTATATAATTGCTCACTATCTCAAATTAAATGCTTTCAGAAGCCACCATCAGCCTTGCATGTAAAAGGTAAACGCATAGAAGGTGGTCCACAAATGTTGCAGCTAAGTCTGGATGGGAGAAGACTTTATGTGACTAATTCGCTTTATAGAAGATGGGATGAACAGTTTTATCCGAAACTAATCAAGTAAGTATTCGATTAGC